GGGTAAGTAGGTAGTTGGAGGGAGAATAGATAAATGGGGAAGGAGGGATAAATATTTAGATGGATAGAAAGATAGATAGATGAGGGGATGGAAGAGAGGGAGAGATAGATTATTCGATGAATGGAGGAAGAAGAGAGGTCTAGGTTGGAGAGGGAAGGAAGGAGGGAGACAGGGAGGGAGTGAGTTAACAGTCAAGGTAAAGATGAGTGAAGCCCAAACGCCCTGAGCTAACTGCACAGTTAAAAATATACCAACAGTGTATACAGGGTCATGGAAAGGGTTAGATTAGGTTAGATTAGGTTAAAAAATTCTGTTGCCATTTCTTTCTCAGTTCGTATTCTCTCTCTCTCTCTCTCTCTCTCTCTCTCTCTCTCTCTCTCTCTCTGGCTGGTCTTTGAGTGTGGTTCTGATATATCACTTCATGGTTGATTTATGACATTCTGACTCCCAATAATTCATGTTTTTGTGATTTTCCTCTGAAATATTGTACTTCCATTTTCCTTCTTCCTTTGGAGTGAAAGTGAGTGATGATAGCCTTCAGGGAGCTAGAGTGAGAGGCTGTGAGAGGGAGGGAGGTAGGGAGAGGGCAGTAGGGAGAGGGAGAGGGTGGGAGGTAGGAGTCAATGGGGGATCAGAAGGGTAGAGTCAGTGGGAAGGTGGGGAGGGGTGGAGAGGAAAAGGAGGGATAGAGGATAGGAGAGAAGAGGAGAGAGAGGAGGAAGGAGAGGGAAGATAGAGGAAAGGAGAAGGGAGGAAGAGAGAAAAGAAACGAGGAGAGGAAGGAGAGAGGCGAAGAGAGGGGAGAGAGGAGTGGGAAGAGAGATGAGAGGGGAGTGAGAGGGGAGAGAGGGGAACTCACAAGGACCGTTTGAGAAGCAAGGCACAGTACACACCCAATATATGCCTCGAGATGTTGCCTGAATATTCGGGCAGCATACACGGGACGGTTGCTTTTACCCTGTAGCTGAGAGTGGGATGAGAGGTGCTGAGAGGGAGTTGAGAGGTGCTGAGAGTGAGTTGAGAGGTACTGAGAGTGAGTTGAGAGGTGCTGAGAGTGAGTTGAGAGTTGACGAGAGTGAGTTGAGAGCTGCTGAGAGTGAGTTGAGACCTGCTGAGAGTGAGTGGGATGAGAGGTACTGAGTGTGAGTGGGATGAGAGGTGCTGAGGTATTCGAGGTTAGTACACACCTCTCTGGTCTGTATAAGGATGGGAGTAGGAAGCGGCTGACGGTGGCTGACGGTGGAGTCTCATTGCAATTTGAACTTCCAACTTTCTGTCGTAATTTTCTCTGGTAACTTAGATGTGTTCTCATATCTCTTGTTATGGGGGCAATTATAATGTGAGGCTCTCTGAGAATCCGTCTTTACCGAGACAGTTAAGAGAGCCAGTTAGATACGTTCTCACATCTCCAGTTAAAGAAGCCAGTTAGATACGTTCTCCTATACTAAGATAGTTAAGGGAGCCAGTTACATACGTTCTCCTATACCAAGACAGTTAAGGGAGCCGGTTACATACGTTCTCCTATACTAAGACAGTTAAGGGAGCCAGTTACATACGTTCTCATATCTCCAGTTAAGGGAGCCAGTTACATACGTTCTCATATCTCCAGTTAAGGGAGCCAGTTACATACGTTCTCACATCTCTAGACAAGAGTTAATAATAAAAACACATACAAACCCGGGATTATTTTTTTTTTGGTTCACTCTGTAACCTCTACGCGAGTAATGGTCTGAAGAGAAGAGAGGGCTAGAGTTGACCACCAGACAGCAACTGATTGGTACATTCGTCGGTGTTGAGGTTGGTGTGAGGGGGGAGAAGAGGGTGTTGGAGGAGGATAATGCCAAGCAATCGGTGCTCAATGAAGTGATAGAATTACAAAGTTTGGTTGAGAGAGTGTGAGAGAGAAAGAGGAGGGGAGGAGGGAAGGGAAGAGTTTGCAGGAGAGGTGTTGGTGGTGATATTCAATAACTACCAACACTACCACCATCAAGAACAACAACAAGCAACAACCGCCAGTATAATCACCATAACCACCACTATCACCAGTGTCCAACCACCACCATCACCACCACCACTACTACCATCACTCATCGACAACAAACAACCACCATCACTAACAACAACAACAACAATCGTATGGGTTTGTTCGCTTGGAAGTAATAATTTTTTTTCCCACAATCCAATTTTATTACATTTTCTTGTTCGTGTTCATCTTTTTCCTCCTTCAGTCCCCGAGTTTTTTCCCCGTGTGGAGTTTTTCCCTATTTGATGTAGTTTCTGACTTGTGCTTTTTTCCCCTTGTTTTTTCCCTGTTGTGTTTTTTCCTTAGTGTTTAGTACATTATATGTTTTTCATCGATTTTTTCCTTCTAGTAATTTTTCCTTGAATTTTTCCCTGGTATTTTTTTTTACCTCGTTTATTTCTTTTGGTTTTTTCCTCGTGTTCGTCATGGTGTTTTTTTAGTCTTTTTTCTTTTTTGTTTTCTTGTATGTTTCATCTGTGTTTTTTTCCCTCGTGTGATGTTCACCTCGTGATCTAATTTGTGTTTTTCTTTCACCCTTTTCCTCGTCTTTATATTTGTGTGTTACTTGTGTTTGTGTGTGTATACGTTTTTTGTGTGTTTTTTTCATATACTTCTTCGTCATTTATATTTCCCTTATGTTATTTTTTCTTCCCTTGATGTCATATTTTCCTTCCGTTTTTCCTCGTGTATTACTTCATATTTTTTTCCCTCCTGTGTTTGACTTGTGTTTATTCCCTTACTTTAATTCTTCCGTTTTTATTTTTAGTTTTAATATTGCTCTCTCTGGCTCGCTCTCTCTGGCTCGCTCTCTCTGGCTCGCTCTCTCTGGCTCGGCTCAAGAGGATATACTGTACCAACTAGTGTCTGTCTCTATCTCTCTCTTGGTAGGTCGGGGTTGTGCTGTAATTTTGATTCTCTGATACAGTAGCAGCAGTAGAAGTAGCAGCAGCAGCAGTAGCAGTAACAACAGCACTTAAAAATAACAGTATCAGTTGAAGTACACAAGGTAGCACACAGGTGATAACAGGAGAATGAATGTGAAAGAAACTTCAGTGTAAAGAGGAAATGAATGCAGGAGATGAAGGAAGGTAAATGAAGGTAACACAAGAACACATGAATAAGTAATGAAGGAATAATCAGTCGCTCCTAAGAGAGGATGAAGGAAGGAAGGAAGGAAGGAAGGAAGGAAGACCCACCTGTGCTCTGTGACTAGGCACTAATAACTATCTTACCTGTAATACCTGGACTCACAATGACACCTGTATTTATTAACAGGAGTAATACACCTGGCGTTTCTCCTACAGTAATGTCTTTAACAAAAATTCTAAGCAATTTTTGTGATTATTGGTATTTTTTTTGTATTTGTATAAAAAACAAAAAATAAAAGCCAGTTGTTGTAATAGTGACTTTTGTTAAATAAAAAAATAGTCTGGCGATGAAAATAACGCCAGCAATGGAGTTCATAAAGGACAGCGGTGGCGGTGGGTGAAGAACGACTAATGAACCACAGGTGAAGGTAATCATTAGACTGCTGACAGGTAGACTCACTACACCGCCCCTGTGAAGGTGTGATCAAGCTAGAGGTGGGAGGATGATGGGTAGTGTGCGGTTAAAGTGTGTTTACGTTAGGTTAGGTAAAGGTTAGGATAGGTTATGTCCAGTTAGGTTAAAGTAGCGCAAGGTTATGTTAAATTGGCGTTAGGTTAAGTTAAATTAGTGTTAGGTTAACCTGGTGAAATAAACTTGGGTGACTAATCTTCATGTGACCCCTAAAATAAGTACCGAAGACAAATATTCACCTCTGGAACTCCTGACAACCACACCAAGACGTTCTCCCTAGCGTACAGTACATTCTATATCAGTACAATAATATCCTGTTTAAACTGAGTCCATTTCCGCCTCCTAACCTTCCCTCACCGTCCCTGTGAAAGGTGAGACTTCAAAAGCGCCCCCTAGAATCTTCCTTGTGGCAGATACACTCTAGGAATTCATCGTTTGTGCTGAAAGGAGAACTATTTATATCCTTTTGATGACTTTTGTGGTATATCGAGTAAACATATCGTTGATTTTTTCCTGTCTCCACCGGGGAATATATATATCGTAATAGAGAATGTTTTTGAAATCGAATAAATCACAGGTGTAAACATTTATCGGAAATGTTTGAGGAAAAAATGTTGAATGTATCGTGACTATTAATGTTTCGTTCAGCGATTTCTGATGTTTTCCTTTGCAACAACATGAACAAATTACTAAAAACAATTTTCAACGAAATAACTTATTTTCAAGGTGTCCCCAGGTGAGTTGCCATGTCCCCAGGTGAGTTACCATGCCCCCAGGTGAGTTACCATGTCCCCAGGTGAGTTACTATGCCCCCAGGTGAGATGTCATGCCCCCCAGGTGAGATGTCATGGCCCCCCAGGTGAGATGTCATGGCCCCCAGCCCCTCCGTAACTCCCAAACAAATGAACTGGGAGGCAATAATCGTGATGTGATGCATTGCTGACGTCTGGATTTTTTTTTTCTAAATCATTTTGACTGAAGGAATTCCAATAGTCATGTCGGTGTCTTTTTCGTATGATCTTTTTTTTTAGTTTTATCGCTTTCCCTCTGTTTTCCACAAACTCTGAACAAACAAATGGGAAAAGTTTCAGAGTGTATTTTTCCTTCCCACATAGTTTTGCATTCTGTATTCTCATTTGCATGTCGTTTTCTCTTGTTCAAAGGCAGTGAGTTGATGAAGGTACAGCGACTGACACCTGTCGATACCAGATCTTTCTTCTCTTACATTTCTTTTTGGATTCCAGAGTAACATCTTACACCTCATTGGTCCTAACTGATATTCCCTACACCCGATTGGTCTCCACAGATATACCCTACACCCCATTGGTCTCCACAGATATACCCTACATCCCATTGGTCCCTACAGATACACCCTGCAGCCTGTTCGCGTCACTAGCTCTTCTCTCCTCTTCCACAGGTGTGTCAACAGCCATCAAAATCACCAGATTGGAGGTCCCTACACCCCTGGCGGTGGGTGATAGTGGGTGGCTCGAGTGTGAGTGGGCGGACGAGGGCGACCACGTCTACACCCTCAAGTGGTACCTTGGCATCGACGAGTTCTACCGCTGGACTCCCCTCGAGACGCCCTCAGTGAAGGTGTTCCCCACTCAGCACTTCAACGTAGATACCCAGTCGTCTCAGCGAGGGCGAGTCAAGATACGAAACGTGACGGTAGATGCCGGGGGGAACTACCGTTGTGAGGTGTCTGGAGAGGCGCCAGTGTTTAAGACCTCCTTCAGGTCCGCCATCATGACTGTTGTCGGTGAGTCAGTGTGAGGAAGAGGAGAAGGAGTGGTGAGATGTGTGTGTGGTTGTTTCAAAATGATACACTGCAAAAGAAAAACATTAATATTCATCACTAAACTATCACTACTACTACTACTACTCCTCACACCAACAACCCACACCAACAACCCACACCAGCGCTAAAGAGTTTCATCAAGTCTTCCTGATTGTTGATGAAGTCAGGTGACGGTAATTTATTCACCAGAAGTACAGTTTACTCTCACTGGCCGAGCTGTCTGACTCGTTTTACATACTGGCTTTGAAGACCCGGGTTCTTCTTGTTCCTCTGCTGCCTGTTAGGTCCTTGCTGCCAGACACAGAGGCGGGAGTTGACTGTGCAATTTATACAGCTGCTTCTACATGGCATTAATGCTCGGGAAGGAGAAACAGGTGTGCTAAGGGAGAGGGAGTGTATGTCTCAAGGGAGATAGGGAGTGTCAAGGGAGGTAGGGAGTGTCAAGGGAGATAGGGAGTGTCAAGGGAGGTAGGGAGTGTCAAGGGAGGAAAGGGGCTGTCAAGGGAGATATATGATCGTGATTACTAAACAAACTCACCTCCACACTTCACACACTCAACACTTCACACATTTACCTCACACACTTCACACACACTCAACACTTCACACACTCAACACTTCACACACTCAACACTTCACACACTCACTTCACTCACCTCCACACTTCAGTAGGTTACATCATCTTTAATATCCTGAAACTCGAGGCAAAATCATGAACAGCAAATCATGGCTTGAAATTTCTCGTCTTCTTTCCTTTACAAATGACACACAGACACACACACACACACACACACACACACACACACACGACGAACACAAACACACCAACACATACACACCTACACATACACACTACAGCAAAACGTTCAAAACACACACACACACGAAAAACAAAGCGGCGAGCAAATACAGTGGAAGCAATAAATATGGAGAGAACTCAGTCAGTATTTGCTTGACGTATAAACTGTTGGAATATGATAGGAACATTGTCGTATCCTGAGGCCAGATTCTCAAAGACTCGCCTGGTTGAATATTTCTCGTAACTATAGATACAAAAATACATTCAATTGGTTTACCTTAAGCTAAAAACAACAACCAAAAATGACGTTTACAAATGGAAGGTAATTAATTCTCAGACTGTACCTTAACTGCAGCGGGCGTTCACACAGGTATTTTTAATTACAGGTTCCCCAAGGTGTTTGAGTTTTTTTAGTTGATTTTAAACCTTTATTTACTCTCCTAATGTTTATAATTACAGTAGAGTCTCAGTGTATTTCTTAAGCCATTTTTTTTAACGTTGTTTTTGGGCTTTAGCTCTGTCATTATTTAACCAGTCTTATATATTTAACCAATCCTCAACCACTCTGATTAGACTTTAGCCAAGAGTGAGTCAGTCATTGATTAACCTTCATCAAGTAGTGAGTTATACCTGTGTTGAATTTTATACCTGTAACCAAACATTAACCAGTGCTGAGTCATATACCTGTGACTAATCTTTAACCTGTGTGGAGACTTAACACCTGTGGCCACCTAACACCACCACCACTCAGTGACACTCTTACACCTGGGCAGATGTACCTGACGATCGGCCGATAATTAGCAGTAAAGGGCGAGGACCTTACCGCCTTCAGGAGCAAGTTACCTTTACCTGTTCCTCTCACGACGCTAAGCCCGCCCCTCACCTCACCTTCTACATCAACGATCAGCCTGTGAGTACACCTACCTCCACGTGTTAGAAGATTTTCACCTGTATTCACCTGTTTTGAGGAGGATGTAATGTCTATACCTTTCAGTGGCTTGAGTTTACAGTACTTCTGGATTTATTATTTTCTAAAATCTGGTTAGGTTTGGCTAGGTTAGGTTAGGTTAGGTTAGGTTAGGTTAGGTTAGGTTAGGTTAGGTTAGGTTAGGTTAGGTTAGGTTAGGTTAGGTTAGGCTAGGTTAGGTTAGGTTAGGTTAGGTTAGGTTAGGTTAAGTTAATTAAGTCTGGTTCTGTGTTATTCTGACTAAATAAACTGTTTTAATTTCAGGTTCAATTTCCTGTTTCTCTGTGTACTTCTTCGTTAGCTGTGTCACTGTTAACTTTGGGTATGAGGACTTACAACTTCAAGAATTGTTGTTGTTTCTCTTTCGTCTTTCTCTCCTTCTGTTTTTCTTATTCATCCTCTCTTTATTCTCCCATCTTCCTATTCTCCTCCTTCCTTCACTCTCTCATCTTCATCTTTCCTCTCCTCTTCTTCTCCTCCTTCCTCTTTCCTCTCATCATCCTCTCACCCCCCCCTCCTTCACTCTCTCATTTCCCTCTCCTACTTCCTCTTTCCTCTCATCTCTCTCTCTTCCTCCCTTCACTCTCAACACCTCCCTGAACCAATAGGATCATTTGAGGACTTTACAGACTTTGCGCATCGTCTTTACTTGTCCACAGAGGCACTATTCGTCTCCTCCCTCCTCCTGTATTCTGGCACCCTTCCTACATCCATATTCTGGCACTATCCACCTCCCCATTCTTCCTCCTCTCTCTCTCTCTCTCTCCTCTTCCCACATCCATACGCTGGCACCTTTCCCACATCCATATTCTGGCACTATTCCTACATTCATTATCATCCTTCTCCTGTTATATTTCATCCACTCATCTTTCTTCATCTTCCTCATTACTCCCTCTATTTCACTCCTTGTTACCTCTTCTTTATCACCTTCTTCCCTCTCTTCCATCTTTTATTTATCCATCTTTATTCTTAGCTTTCTATACCATTTCTTCTATCTTATCTATGTACTCATTTAACATTTTTCTCTATATTTCCACCATTTAATCACTTTTTTTTACTCCCTTTTATTTGATTATTTTTGGGTGTTCAGTTTTATTTATGTTTTTTAGGGTATATATATAATTTTTTGTTGTTGTTTCTATGTTATGTCTTCCTTCCTTCCTTCCTTCCTTCCTTCCTTCCTTCCTCTCACACACACACTACATTAAAGACCTAAAACCCACCAACACAATTAAATAATCCTTCAAAAGAGTTCAATCCTTTACCACAGGTTGATCCAACGTGGGAGGAAGATGAACACATATTCTTGAACGACACAACGTCCCTGGAGACGGTAGAGAAGACGCTGAAATTCCGCCTTCGTCCTACCATGGTTCAACTGGGTGTCCTGACAGTCAAGTGTGTGGCGTCCTATCCTGATCTGTATTGGGAAAGCAGTGAGAGCGCCTTTACAGTGGACCAGCCCTATGATAGCGTTTATGGGCATAATGGTATGTGGGTGGTGGTGGGTGGTAGTGGTACTGGATGATGGTGGTAGTTAGTGGGTGGTAGTTGATGGTGGGGTGATGGTGGTGGGTGGTGGGTGGTGATTATGGGAGTTGTTGGTAAGTGGTAAAAAGGGTGATGGTAGGTGGTTATGGTAGGTGGTTATGGTAGGTGATAATGGTATGTAATGGTAGATCATAATGGTATATACTTCATGAAACTTAACTTTACTTGACTAGTTGGTTGTAAAATAAACTTGACTATTTTAAACCTTTACCCAAAGAATTATTAAAATGCTAGTTAGAAATTTTATTACCTGGGCTATTAATTGAAATACGGCTATTAAAACACCTTAGCAACTATTTAGAGGCTAGTTAAATATTGGCTCTTTATGTTTTTAGGATTAAGTAACAATGTCTGTCTCCTTCCTTCCTTCCTTCCTTCCTTCCTTCCTTCCTTCCTTCCTTCCTTCCTTCCTTCCTTCCTTCCTTCCTTCCTCTCCAAACATAACCCATAACACCACCCTTGAGACTCACTCTAGTACTTGATGATAATTTGTTGTTTCTCGTTCCAGGGTTTGTGATTATAGGGGGGGTGTCCAGGCCAGTAGGATCCAGTCATCTGCTGTATTCCCTGCTGCTGCTGCTCCTGCTCGCCACCTTCCTCTTGTAGCTCTCTGCTCCTTTCTCTACTTCCCTGCTGTGATATTCTGCTGTGTCCAAGATAATTTCCTGTGCCCAGACCAACAGCCTTCGCTTTTCTGTTTGCTGTCTTCCCCGTCACTACTGCCTGTTAGCCTTCTGTTGTAGCCCACTGTTGTTGTTATCTTCACTACTGTGACCTCCTGTTATCATTCCTCCAGTTATAGTGTGTTGCCTCTTCTTTGTCTTTATTCGTGTATATCACTTATCTCTTCCTCTTTTATTGCCACGTTATTCAATTCCTCATTGCCTCCTCTGATGAAGATTTGCACTGCTGCTCCTCTTCTTAAGCTCTGAAATTTGTAGAATCTTTTGTTTTCAAGTCTCCTCCTCCCCCTCCCCTCCTTCCTCTTTCCCCTTCCTGCTCCTTTCCCTCCCCCTCATCCTCCTCCTCCTCCCCCTCATCCTCCTCCTCCTCCTCCCTTCCCCGTCTCCCCCACCTCCTCTCCCTCTTCTTCTATCCTGTGTCCCCCCCCAAGGCGAGAAGAGGCAATTGAAAAGAGGCGGCTGAGAAAGATTACAAGAGTTTTGCATATTCTTCATCTTGATGCAGAAATAACGTTCATAAATTATGCAAGTTGAGGGAAGTTTGGACTCCAAATAATAATAATTCCCACCAAACGAGACGATCCACAAAACTGCTGCTGCTGGTGGTGGTGCTGCTGCTGTTGCTGTTCTTGAGGCAGCAGAACCCTTTGTTGCTGCAGCCAGATCTCTTGTTGCTGCAGCCGTATCTCTTGTTGCTGCAGCCGTATCTCTTGGTGCTGCAGCCAGATCTCTTGTTGCTGCAGCTGGATCTCTTGTTGCTGAAGCCAGATCTCTTGTTGCTGCAGCTGGAGCTCTTGTTGCTGCAGCTGGATCTCTTGTTGCTGCAGCCGGATCTCTTGTTACTTCTGTTGGTGTTCTCGTGGTAACTGAACCCCTATTTCCGGCAGTTGATTTTGATGCTATGGGAACTCCTGTTGTTGCAGCTGTTATTCCTGTTGATGTGTGTTGCAGTATCGCTTATTTCAATATATGCAGTACTGGTATATATATATATATATATATATATATATATATAAATGGGCTTTTTCAAATGTGTGTGTGTGTATATATATATAAATTCACTAATGTAACTCCACTGGGACTTTCATAATGTTTATTTTTCTATGTCATTCGTGTAATCTTGATGGCAATGGAATATTATGGATCACACGACTAAAAAGAAAAAAAACGAAAAGAATATTGTGTTTTGATGTTTGTGCATGTTTGTGTGTGTTTATATACTGGTGACTGTTTTTATTTACATCCCCCACACATCCTTTGTATCCGTGTGTGTGTGTGTGTGTGTGTGTGTGTGTGTGTGTGTGTGTGTGTGTGTGTGTGTGTTTTGACGACAGGATATGCTGACAAGGTATTTTGCCTTATTCATGCAAATGCATTATCAATTATGCATTTATTCTGGTTTTCAAAGAAGAATAATCATGTGAATTTGTCATCCATCCATCCATCCATCCATCCATCCATCCAATCTGGTTCGAAGGATGCATTTCTCACACCGAGTCATGCACCGAACTCATCCAACCATACATAAATATTAACCAGTCATTCTCAGGTCCCCTCCAACCATGCTTGCGACCCATGCTATCATGCACAAGCTCTATTTAGACGTGTGCATGCTCAGTACATCCTGTTATGGACGGGTCGTGTTTAGCTATGCACTCAATCATATGCATATTCTATCCAGACGCATGATTATTCCAGTCATTCTAGCCCTATCATACTAGTCTCATTCAATTGTACTAGCCCCATTCATTAGCACTAAGCGTATCCAATCATACTAGCTCCATCCATTCATACAATAGCTCCATCCACTCTTATTAGCCAATCATACTAGCCCCATCCAATCATACTAGCCCCATCCAATCACACTAGCCCCATCCAATTACACTAGCTCCATCCACTCTTATTAGCCAATCACACTAGCCCCATCCAATCACACTAGCTTCATCTACTCATATTAGCCAATCACACTAGCCCCATCCAATCACACTAGCCCCATCCAATCATACTGGCCCCATCCATCATCCGTCCCATCATCCCCTCAATGTTGTACAGTAGTTAAGGAGTGAAGATAAAACTTAAAGAATTTACTCTTCCTCTTCACCCTCTTCCCTTTCTCCCCCCCTCTCCCTCATCCTCCCCCTCTCCCCTCCCTCCTCTCCCCCTCTCCTCCCCTCCTCCTCCCCCCTCCCTCTCCTCCCCTCCTCTCCCCTCCCCCCCGTCTCCCCTCCTCTCCTCTCTCCCCTCCTCCTCCTCTCTCCTCTCCTCCTCTCCTCCTCCTCCTTCATTCACCTGGATATCTGTTGGCTAATTAAGATATTCAGGTGTTTATTTCCTGTTTAAGTGTAAATATTAAAGTGGGTGCGAGTGTGTTTGTTTGTTAATAATGTTAGTACGTAAAATCGCGACTTGGGAACGACTAGTCTTGAATTACTGTATATTGTAAAGCGACTGTATGTGGGAAAAGTTAATGGTAGTCTTGTATTTTTTCTCTCTTGTTTCTCTCTCTCTCTCTCTCTCTCTCTCTACAGTGTTTTCCTTGTATTATTTTCTATGAAAGTAGAGCTAAAAATCAAGTATCTCTTTGTTTACATGTTGTCAGCTGTTCCGCGGCAAGAGTTCAATATATATTTTCTCCAGTACTCACCGGAACATTTACCCCCACCCCTAAAAAAATATAGTACTTTTCTAATGTACTTTTTTAAGTGTTTTCTCGTCTACTTACCAAAAAAAAAAAGGAAGATATATTCAATGTTTCTTCTTAAAATCTTCAGATCTATTGAATGGAATTATATATAGTTACATAGATATATAATATTACTTAATGCTTTCATGAAGGATTGAGTTGAAAATATTACGCCATTTATCAGGAAATACAATGCTCTGAATGTCTGTCTGTGTGTCTGTCTGTCACTATGATGTTCTGAATGTTGCGTTATATATTTTTTCTCTAATATAAACCGGATGTAGTGAACCAAAGAATGTCATTGTGGATTTATTACTGTTATAATCTGGCTTTAGTTACCACAGTGTTGGGCTGACTCGCTCTCTGTCGATTCTTACGTGAGGTTAAACTATCCCAGCTGGTGGTATAAAGTTGTTGATTATATTATAGGTTTGTCGAAAGGAATCCCAGCCTAAAGTAACCCTTAGAACTGGGAGTCATTAGTACTGGGATCTATTAGTACTGGGATCTGATAGTACTGGGATCTGATAGTACTGGGATCTGTTCGTACTGGAGCCCCTAAGTATACGCTCCACCAGTACTCACACGTATTAGCAAATTTATACAACAAAATATAACAAAAAATCTGATAATACAATAAGTTTATATACATGATTAATACATCACACTTATACGTGATTTTATTCATCAGATTTTGTAGTTGTATTATAATGTAAAAGTTATCTCATTCATAACGACTTTGGTGTTGAATAAAATATAGTGATTTAGAATACACTTAGACCAGGGCTTGTGGTACACTTTATTGAGAATATTTTAATAATTGTTTTCCATAAAGTTTTAATACATTAGAATAAATTTTATATTTAAACTTAAATTTATTATACTTTATGGGAAATGAAGAATAAAGTTAGAATATATCTAAATAAAGTGTTTAATTGCAGGGTATAAGAACTTTCTGAATAAATTGTTTGTTTAGTTAATTTTTTGGAGCTGTCATTAACTTTTTTTTATTCAAATGTTGATAGAATTTTTTTAATAAAATTTTCTGAACTAATTGTTCATTTGTTATTGATTGTCTGCTTAAAGTATTGTACTGTACCTGTAGCGTACTGTACTACCTGTATTGTACTGTACCTGTATTGTACTGTACCTGTATTGTACTGTACCCGTATTGTACAGTACCTGTATTGTACAGTACTAGAAATTTCCTTAAATTGTTTTCCTATTACGACTGTCTTGATGGAAAGTGTTTATTTATTCACTGAACCTGAATAATATACATTTATACAATTCCCTGAACTACTGTAAAGTTACCGATTAAAATGATCAGATAAAAAGTCCATTTGTGAAATGAGTCTGAATAAGCTGTGTATTCATTAATAATGTACTTGATGAAACTCTGTCAAGCATTTTTTTAATTTAATTTAATAAATGAAGGATTCATTATTTCCAAACGTGTTTTTTTTTGTTTTTTTTCATTCCGTGCGTGTGTGTGTCGTGTATGTCTGTGTAATTTTTTTTGTAATACCTTTGTTTGATTCTTGTGAACAATGGAGAGATAAATATATGTAAAATAAATAAATATTGATGAGCAGAATAAGAGAAGTTGTTTTATTAAGGCCTGACAGATGATGGTGATAAGTTATCTTTATAGTAATTATTAATAAAATGGTAATTTATTTTCCTCTTCCTTGAATTAGATACAAATATATAATCTAGTTTGATAAAATTACCCTTTAAATTATGTGTTTGTTTTCACTGTTCGACATAGGTATGGATTTATTTTATTTGTTTGTTTGTTTGTTTGTTATAATTGTAAATAGTCAAACCACAGTACTAAGTTCCAGGTCTCTATGTTTCATCATCTTGGGGTTACGACACTGACTGACTGACTAAATGAATGACAGACAAAATAACATAAGACTCTTTTATTGTTACAGATTTTGTCTTGTATATTTTCTCTCCTTTGGCATTTGTCGTTTTTGTGATTTTTTTTTTTACGTTTACCATTTCTACTTTGTTTTATGTCTGTTTTTTTTTATTATTGATCGGTGTTTTTTTTTTTATTGGTAGGTTATTCGTGGCGCTGCTTCTTGCTGGGGAGAGAAATAGTTCCTTGGGTGGATTCAGACTACAGTACAGAATCACTAACATGAAGTATCGTATGTATAACATCTAGAAATCAATAATGTGTTTACTTTTTTGGTGTTCTGGAGGTAATTTTTTTATTCTATCTAGTGAGTTAAATTTTTTGATAATGTGAGTTATTTTTTGATAGTCTTTTGTTATAGATTAAATGTTTTTTATTGTTTTTTTTTTTTATAGGGGGACTTTTTGAGGGGGGGGGTGGATGTTGTCATTAGTACCACCTTTCTGGGTCATCTTAACTACACTGAAAGATAAACAAAACATCAACACTTCATAATAATCTCCCAAACATCATCCATAATTAGTTTCATAAGACAAATCTGACACGATACACAAACTCACCTTCTAAACTTCGTAACTAATAGTCGTAGTTCATATATAAAGACCAATAACAGTGTTCATATACAGAGAAAAATCATATATTAGACTTTACCTCGATTTATTTTCCGATCTTCTGTTGCTCAGTATTGCTACATGAATCATCTTATCCATCAACCTCTTCATGTGTTTCTGGCCACACACGAGAGCTGAGAGCCAAGATGTGATTCTCCCATTGAGGAAATTAGTATCGTTAAGGTAAGTGCCTGAGGAGGAGTAGTGGAGAAGAGAGATGTTCCAGGAAATTATCTCATTTTACCAAGGATTAATCTCAAGTAGTCGAGAAGTCTTGAGAATCGTGTTAGGTACCGAGAAACACATGATTTTTTTTTTAGAGGTTCAGTCACTTGTCTTACCCTACTCTGTTTGGTATGAGGCCCACTGTTTCATTCCTTGGCTATGACTTATACCCACTAGCAGTCAACCTTGTCTAGAACTTAGTGTAGTGAGCAGTTCACCCCCCTTACACGCACACCCCGCCCCACGTACACACAAAACAACAACAAAATCAGTAACTTAACCAAACAGTGATGTCAAGCAAGCAAGGATGAACACGCAGAGACAAGCTATAATCAGTTCACATTTACCCACACCACAAGCATAAGCACACCTAAAACCTTTCGCTATTTGGAAAACATTAACATGCAACATTAATGTGTACATAAAGTCAGAGCCCTCAGTGTGACAAGAGACTGGTAGCGAGATATTTTAGAGTTAGAAAAAGTTTAGATCGAGAGAAGCGAGTCGTGAGAATATATTCAGAAAAGTGTTTTAGCTCGT